ATATATATATATATATGGCTGAGAAAGAACTTTTCCCCATAGAAAAAGTTTGATATATATATATATATGGCTGAGAAAGAACTTTTCCCCATAGAAAAAGTTTGCATCTATTTAAGAAAAACAAAAAATAATACTTCTTAATAGCTTGAGGAGCCTTTAAAGAGAGATGATTGTAATTCTCCAGAAATTCTGATTCTGTAGGCCTGGAGGTCCAGAGTTCCTTGTTCTATAGAAAACATGGGACATGGGGTGTATGGTGACCCATCAAGACCTAATCTCAAATACACAAAGGAGACAAAACTACTTCGGTTTGAGAAACAGTGATAGATTGCTGATCAGTAAGAACAAAAGCCATTGGGCATGTAACTTAAAAGGGCTTATACAACATTTTGTGTATTTAGTATATATAAAATGCATACTTATATGCAGTTTATATATGCTATATATATAGTATACACGACACATACATACATAAATTCCTTATGAGTTTAGAAAGAGGGATATGGACTTTAAAAGATTAGAAACAAAAACCCCAACCAATTACAATGTAAATGAGATGTAGAGTCCTCAGTATGTTAAACTTCAAATTCAATTTTGTCTTTCCCAGTTGGAGTCATTCGATGCCCTGTTTGCAGTCAAGAGTGTGCTGAGAGACACATCATAGACAACTTTTTTGTGAAGGACACCACTGAGGTTCCCAGTAGTACAGTAGAAAAGTCTAATCAGGTAAGTGTAAATTCAACCTTCACCACCCATAATGAAGCAGCTTAAATGCTGAGGGAATTTTATATAAATAGCCAAACTTCAGAACATTAATATACAAAGTTATATCATTTTTAAGAGTATGAATGATAGTGAATAGTTGAGCTTAGGAATAAAACAGTGTCAATGTAGAAGCCTCTGACTTTATCATTATATATCTGTATGCTAGAAAGAAACATTATGCTATAGTTAGTATTTCTTTGAACTGTGTTACTAGGTGTTGAAATTGTTACTTTAGACTCCTTTTCAAAAAGGTTTATCTTTATGTGTATTGGTGCTTTGCCTGCATCTGGTAAGTACACCATGTGTGTGCAATGCTTGTGGAGGCCTAAAGAGGGCATCATAGCCCTTGTAACTGGAGGTAAAGACAGTAGTGAATCCCTTGAGGGTTTTGGGAACCTAACCCAGTTCCTCTGCAAGAGCTACGAGTATGCCTTTAGCCAGTGAGCCATCTCTCCAGCCCCAGCCTCCTTTTGTAAACTGTATAATTACTCAAGGGACTTACATTATTATATTTTTGATCAGTAAGATTTCTACGTTTTAACAATTAGTGTGTGCATGTATCTACATACTTGTTGGCTATAATAAAAAAAGACGTCAACTTGGTGAAGTTGGTTTTCTCCTTCCATTTTTCTGTGTATTCTGAGCATCAATCTTAGGTCATTAGGCTTGCGTTGTCAGGTAGGAAAGAGCCCTACGTTATGAGCTGCCTCTCATGCCCAGGACTTCATACATTTAAGAAAGTCATGTTCATGGTGTTCCTCTGAAAGCTTTGCTTAGTAGCATTGTCCAAGGTGCTGAATTTAGATACACGACAATATCTTTTCTTTTTCACTCCTTTAAGCCTAAATGTAGAGACTTTATCCCTAGGGAGAATCTGTGGTTTTCTATCATGGGATGGCCCTGCTAAGGTGAATTCTCTTGCATGTGTTAAGAATAGTTGACTTTTGGTTCATCGTCTCATAGATAGTTTCTTTTCTTTACAACAAGATCTGGGAGAGAACTAAGTCTAGTTAGAAAACAGTTGTTGATTTTGTCTACTGAGTGACTGGTTCCTGTGCTTTCCCCCCACTTCCTTCATTTTCAACTTGGTTCCAGTGGGGTTTAGGGTTGATGTTACTTATAAAAGAACTTAGTTAATACTAATTAAAATTGGGTTGTTTTAACAGTGTCCACATTGCTCCCCAAAGGCCACATTGGGCTTGCTTCAGGGGATAAACTATTTCCTTGTGAAGCCAGCTTTAAATAATGGAATTGGCTGTGGGTTTACCTCAGGTGTAGTATGTATTGTGCAGGAGACCCCGGGCTCAGGGCCTTTTCTAGGGGTGATAATCCAGAAACTGACTGTGGAGACTACAGCATGGGGGCTGTTTCTCTAGGCCTCTCCGTGGTGCTTATTACCTGCACTGCTGCTTTCTTTGTTTTGGTTTTTTTGTTTTGCTTTGTTGTTGTTGTTGTTGCTGCTGCTGCTGTTTTGCAATAGGCTCTTGCAGTGCAGCCCAGGGTGCAGGCCTTGAACTCACAGTCCTCTTGCTTCTCTCCTAGGAGGATAGGTATTACCATATCTTGCATTTTATATTTTGTTTCATTTACTAAGATCTGGAGCAGTGCCTAACAGCCATGCCTTGTTCCCTTCTGTAGCCTTGAGTGGAAGATTAGAAATTTCAGTGGCATCCTTATAGACATGATAGTTACATTTAAGGATACCCCTAGATAAAGCGTAAACCTACAGAATCACAGGAAGAGAAACAGCAGATGGGATTCTGAGTGGCATTCGGAAAGCAAAGAGGATTGGCAGATCCTGGCACTTACCAGCAGTGTGAGAAAAGGTGAAGATGATAAGCCCTAAGAAAGGCAGATTTTTTTGGTTCCTGGAAATACCAGATATTTGAAAATTTGGCAACTTCTAAGTTATGTGATTTTTGTTTGTTTGTTTCCAACTACAAAGATAGTTCGTATTGCCACTGTCTTCACCATTCCCCAGCTATATACATCTGCTAGATTCTTCACCTCCCGTGCCCAGTGCGCTCTCCAAGCGTGCGTGTAAGCTTTGTCAATCTCTCACTCTGCTGCCTTCCTCACTTCTGCTAACCCCATACAAATGAACCTGATGTAGGAATGCTTTCCACCTCTCCAATCTGTTCTTTGCATTGCAGTCATAGCGCTTTAAGAATATAAGTCTACCCATGCCTTTCTTAATCTTTCTCTTCAGACAAAGACCGACATTGTCATGTGGCCTTACTTGATCTGACCCTTGCCTGTCTTGCCACCAGCTCCTTCTCTTCCAGTCCTCCCCTTGATTCCTGTAGAAAAGTGCTGCTTTCTTGCTTTCAGTTCTTTAAAGCAGCCAAGCTCCTGCTTTTTTGGTTGGTACTATTTTCTGACTAAATGATTTCCATCTAGTAGCTTTCGTGGCTTGATGCTGAGGAAGTTTTTTTAGGAAGAGCTTGCTTCTGTGTCTCCATTCATAAGCACTGACTTTTTGTACATTTCCTTTATTGGCTCTTCTTAATAGAAGTGATCATTGCAATAATGTGCCTTTCCCATTTAATCTTAAGAAGAACTCAATAAATGTGTATCCTTGGGGCTGGAGAGATGTCTCAGTGGTTAAGAACTCTTACTGCTCTTCTGAAGGTTCTGTATTCAATTCCCAGCACCCACATGACAACTCGCACCTATCTGATGCCATTCTCTGGCGTGGAGACATACATGCAAAGTACCCATACACATAAAATACATAAATAAATATATCTTTAAAATTTATATCATTACCTTCATTTTAATAGTGAGTTCTGTATCCTGTTCAAGACCATTGTTGTAGTTAGGATTTCTAGGTGAAACACCACGACCCAGAGTAACTTGGGAAGGAAAAGGTTTATTTCAGCTTAAAATTCTACATCACAGTTCATTATCAAAGGAAGTCATAGCAGAAACTCAGGGCTGGATCCTGGAGGCACGAACTGAAGCAGAGGCCATGAAGGAATGCTTCATGGGTTGCTCAGGCTGCTTGTAACCCAAAGCCACCTCCCCAGAGATTTCACTGCCCATAGTGAGTTGGGTCCTCCTACATTAATCCTTAACACCCGAAGACTTGTCTACATGCCAGTCCCTTTTCTTTCCTTCTTTCTTTTCTTTGTCTTTGTTTTTTTCCTTTTTATGTTCTATTTTATGTGTATGGGCTCCTAGCCTGCATGCATGTCCATGTATCACATGCATGCAGCGCCCACTCTGGCCACAAGAGGGCCCTGGATCCTCAGAACTACAGACAACCCTAAATTGCCACATGGATGCCATAAACTGAACCCGGGGCAAGAGCAGCCAGCATTCCCAACCACTGAAATATCTCTCCAAACCCTCAATAGCTTAATCTTATGGAGGCGTTTTCTTCCCAGGCTAGAGAGATGACTTAGTGGTTAAGAACACTGCTCTTCTAGAAGACTTGAGTTCAATTTCCAGCATCCACATGGTGGCTCACAACCATTTGTGACTCTAGTTCCCAAGGATCAGATACCGTCTTCTGAACTCCACAGGCAATGCACACATGGACGACATAGACATCCTTGCAGGCAAAATCCCCATACATATAAAATAAAGGACTTAAAGTAATGTTTCCAGATGTCTCTAGATTTTTTTCAAGTCAACAAAACCATAGCTAACTAGTAGACTCACTTGACTTTTCACTTGTCCTTCTGTCTAAGAGGATTGTAAGCACTATAAGGACAAAGGCTTATGTGTACTCCTCCTTATCATTGTGTGCTCAGTACCTAGCCTAGTACTTGGAATGACTAATATACTGAATTAGGGAGAAAAATGTACTTAAAATTAATTTTCTAATATTTATTTTTGCTTTATTTGTAAGTGTTTTTGCCAACATATATGCATGCATATATACCACAAGCATTCCTGGTGACTTCAGAGGCCAGAAGAGAGCATTGGATTCACTATCATTGGGGTTACAGATGGTCATCAGCTGCCATTTGAGTGTGAGGACCTGATTCCAGCATTGTATATGAGAGCAACAAGTGTTCATGACTGCTGAGCCATCTCTCCAATTCTTTGCTTTTTTAAGAATTAATTGATTTTATTATTGATTTTTATTTTGTATGTATGAGTGTTTGTATGTATGTTTGTATGTACACCATGTATATGCCTGGTGCTCACAGAAGCCAGAAGAGGATGTCAGATCTACTAAAACTGGAGTTACAGATGGTTGTAAGTGATCGTGTGGGTGCTGGAGACCATCACTGGAGCCGTCTCTTAAACCACTTGAAATGACTTTCACATGTATCATTTGCCTAGTGCCTGAAATAACTAGTATATCAATCTAAGGAGGAAAATGTGCTTAAATAACCTTTGTCCAGTCTAGTGTTGCACACCTTTTATCCCGGAAGCAGAAACAGTCAGGTGTCTTATGAGTTAAAATCCAGCCGAAATAGTGAGTCCCAGATTAGCCAGGGCTACACAGTGAGACCTTGTCTAAAAAGACAATTCTTATGGGTAATATATTCATTTTAATATACATATAGTTTAATTCATAGTATCAGTTTTAACTTAGGATAATATAAGAAAACTGATAGTCTATTTGGTTAGTGTTTCATTCTTTTTAATTTTTTTTCAACAGTTTATATGACCAGATTCTTTTATTGTTAGGTATGTACAAGCTGTGAAGACAATGCAGAAGCTAATGGGTTTTGTGTAGAGTGTGTTGAATGGCTCTGCAAGACATGTATTAGAGCTCACCAGAGGGTGAAGTTCACAAAAGACCACACAGTCAGGCAGAAAGAAGAAGTATCTCCAGGTAATGAATCAGGTTTTTCCACACTTCTCTCTTTCTCTCTCTGCAACTGTAATTTTACATTTACTATACTGACTTATTTTGATACAGCTATAAATAGTACATGTACTTCAAAATATACTTTTTGAATCAAAGAAGTCAACATCCTATTTGAAATTGTACTTAGAAGTATTATATGTATTTTATATTGAATCTTGTTTTAATTTATATTCCCAACTCTCCTGCTTCTGTAAATTCAATTTGATGTAATCAAAAGGGAAACAAAATGAAATAAAACTTTGCTTTTGTAAATCTCACTGAATAAGAGTAAAGACAATTACCTAAATTCTTTGGCAGAATTATGCAAGCTAGACAGGGTTTACCTCCCTAAAGTGGAGTTTGAGAAAATCTGCATTGAACACAGGATGAAATGAGGTGTATATAGCCCAGAGAAACCCTGCAAGACTAGGGTGTTTTCAAGGGTTGGGGATTTCTAGAGGAATTTTGGTTATATTAGGAATTTGGCTGAACATTTCAAAATTATTTGAACATCTTATCAGAGTCCGACGCCATAGGGTGTTGTCACATCCCAGAAACAGGTTAAAGCACTGTCAACTTGAAGTTTGCAGCAAACAGAAATGAACTTGTTCTGACCTCATAACAAAATGGCCTCCATCCTTAAGATTGAACAGGCTGGTTCATCACAAGTGTTCATAACTAATGAGCCAGCTCTCCAGCCCCATTTAACATAGTGTTTTAAGAGTTCATATGTATCATTGGTTCTTTTTCCGTAAGATTTGCTTTTCTCCTGTTTGTCCTGAGTCAATCAGCACATTATCTCCTTTATTTCTAGATTTTGCTAAGAACTAGAAATGAAAATGTGAGTTGCCTCTTGTACTACAAGAGCATCTAATAAAGAATATAAGCAAATACATAACGAGAGTTGGACTACCAAATTCTGTTGGAATACTTAGAAAGAGTACCAACCTCAGATGTAGGGATTTAAGTTGGAGGCCAAATAACTCCAGTTGAGAGAGCTCTAGCTATAGAAATGAAAGAGTTGCTTGGTAGCATCAATGTTTCATTTGAAGTATAGACCATGAAACTTTCTCCATAGGGTCTTGGCATTCTGGATATTGGTATAGAAAATTGGATATGTGTAGGGTTGGGTTAGCTGGTCAGGTATTGTAGAAATGGAACAACATAGGAAATTCATATAAAGGCATGTTGAACTGTTTTTGGGTTTTAACTGGCTAATGGAGGTACAAAGTGTTGATTAATAGGGTGACTATTGGCTGTAACTGATAAAGGAATTAGTAATATAGCCATTGTATTAAATTAAGTAAATACAAGTGATTAGAGTGGGATTGGTGGGTTGATAATTATAGAAATAGAATAGTAATAACAAAAATTGTCCAGTGTGGTTATGGATGAGTGGTTAAAATGAAGCAGTGGGCTCTGACTTATCGTTGGTTGCACGTGCCAGTAGTCCCAGCAAGTGGAAGGAAGAGGCAGAGTGTATCAGTCCCGTTGTCTAGGCTACAGCCATTCAAAATCCAGTCACCTTAGTGATTAGCTCAACAGCTGAGGACCAAATCTTCCACACGGGAGCTGTTGTGGAGGGAGAGGGAAGGTTTCATATCCAAACTGTAACAACTACCAAAATTTTCTATATTATTTTTCGTTTTTCATTGTGAGTTTTATAAATTTCTGCCATTTTCTTTTTAACTTGTAGGGTTAGTTTGGTTTTATTTTTGTCTGTAGGAATAGCCTTTTGAATATATTTGCCCAGTTACTTACATCATTGCCTTTTAGTCCATCAATCTTGTTTCTTTTCAATTACTTTAATTTTATCTTAAATTTTTCTATTACTAGAGATGAGTGTGGTGATGCACACCTTTAACCCCAACACTCAAGAGGCCGAGGCTGGTGGGTCTCTGGGAGTTTGAGGCCAGCCTGGCCTATGTGGCAAGTTCTGTGACACCCAGAGCTGCACAATTTACAGAGACCTGTCTCAAAACAATGACAAAGTTTTGGGGTTTGGTTTGGTTTTGGTTTTGGCTTTTTTGTTGTTTGTTTGGGTTTTTTTTTTTTTTAATTACTAGTACAGGTGAGCTATATACTTGATGTGTTTTAGGATAAGTGTTTAAAGTTTGAATTATAGTTTATCACTTTGAGTTGGTTTTAAGATGTTCTGCTCTTGAAGAGTTTGGGCTTTTGTTTTTACTCACTTTCTACATTGGTAGTTCTATGAATGACTGATACATTGTTCATTGTAAATTGCTGCGTAGTGTGATTATTATCAACTCAAGAATTGTTCATAGTGGAGAATCATCTCCAGCTTGTGATCCTCTTTGCCTTCACCTCTCAGATGCTGGGTGGGGTTGTGGCCTGTGCTAGCATGCCCTACTTCTGAGGCGTTGGGGATTGAACCCAGGGTTTCATGTCTGCAAAGCAAGCACTCTACCAACAAGGCTGTCCCCTAGCACCTGCAAGAATTCTTTAAAGGAAAGAAGGAAAAATTTCCCAGTTCTTTGCTTTTACTACTTTTTATTGTCAACTTTTCATTAACCTATGGTAAGATAAGTCTATTAACTCAGTTTTCCTTTCTGGTTACTTCTAAGGTTTTTTTTTAAAAGATTTAAAATCGCATAAATATTTTAGTTGTCTCTAGTATTTAAATTTAGTAAAGTTTACCTATTATGGGGGGAAAAGCTTTAAAAAAAAAAGAATAGAAGCCATAAACTCTACATTTAGACCTGAAAATGTAGGTTTATGCTTTTTTTTTTTTTTCAAAGAAAGGAGTCTAAACAAAGATTCAGTTTTAGAGCTGGGAATGTACTTCAGTGATAGAATGCTTGACAAGTCCTTGAGTTCAATTCCTAGTATCGCAAATAATAGACAAGTCTCATCTTTTTTGTTATTGTTTTGTTTTGTTTGAGACAGTTTCCCTGTATCCCTGGCTCTCCTGGAACTCACTCTGTACACCAGGCTGGTCTTGAACTCAGAGATTTGCCTACCCCTGTCTCCTAAGTGTGGGGATTAACGTGCACCATCACCACTGCCCAGCAACAAATGTCATCTTAATAATAATAATAATAATAATAGTAATATATATATGTATGTGTATACACACACACACACATTTTTTAAATTGTGAATGTGTAAGTGCCTACTTTCATGCCTTCATATTCCTCACCCATGCAGTACCTACAGAGGTCAGAAGAAAATGTGTGAACTAGAACTAGAGCAATGGGCAATTTTAAGCCACCTGATGTGTGTGCTGGGAACCCAACTGAGTAAGGTCCTTTGTAAGAGCAGTAAGTGATCTTGACTGCAGAGGTGTCTCTCCAGCCTCTCAAGAGGACAAAATCGGCCAAAAAATATGAACAAAATATTGACACATGGGATTTAGTAAAGTACTTGCTTTATAAGCATAAGGATCTGAGTTTAGTCACTAATATCCACATTAAAAAAGCCTACCATGATGACTCTTGCTTGTAGTCTGGGCGAGTGATGGGGCATCAGGGAATGGGAATACAGACATTTGCCAGTTCCTGAGGCTTATTGACCAAGCAGCTCCACTTGTTAGACGACAGCTCTAGGTTCTAGTGAGAGACTACCATCTCAAAAACAGTTGAGTAGCTTCTAAGAAATGACACCTGAGGTTCATCTATACACCCATGCTCACATGTGTACACATGCACTGTATATTTATGTTTCTAAACACACATGAGCACACATAGTTCAGAACATACGAACTAAAAAAAAAGACATCAAAATTCTCTCCTCATACAATCTAGTCAATAAAAGAAGTACAAGTCAACAGAAAACATATAAGAAAATGTTCAGCAGCCTAAGTCATCAGGAAAAATAAATGAAATTACATTTATATTTTATCTCATTGCAGTCAGAATGGCTATAATTTTAGAAAAAGATCTGACAAGGACAAAGGGAGAAAAGAACACTTATAGTATTGATGGGCGTATAATTTCGTTCAGTCTCCTCACAAAACTAAACATAGCTGGGGTTGTACTCAGTGTGAAAATATTTGCTTAGCTTATATAAAGCTCTAGGCTTAATGCCTAGAACTGAGGGGGATGAAAATTACAGCTCTCTCATAAGAAGTATGTCAGTATATAACAGACATACATATTCAACTATGACACTATTCATGAGAGCCAGTTTATGGAACCAGCCCAGGACAGTCCTAGGCTTTTAAGAACTTTTTAAGAAAATTATTTTGTTATGTATATAGAAGTCTTTTGCCTGATGTATGTCTGTGTACCACTACACTAGAGCCTGGTACATGAGCAGACCATTAAGAGGCCATCAGTCCATGGAACTGGAGTTAGAGAGGATTGAGTACTGCCCGTGGGTGCTGGGATAGATAGAACTGAGGCACTCGGGAAGATCAGCAAATACTTTTCACTGCTGAACCACCTTTCCGGTCTTATTTGGATCCTCCTGTCTCATATTTGGGATAGAAAAGATTTAGTTAGTTTATACTCATAGGGGCTATCTTAAGACTTTTTAATTATATAAATCTCTTTTTTTTTGCCATTACATATATATTTAAATTACTCCTTAATTAAATTAAAAAATCGTATCCATTTTTCTTAAGAAATGCTTGAGAAGTGTTTTCTGAGACTTTCTTTTTTATAATTTTATTTATTCTGTGTATGTATATATGCATGGGTACCTTGTGGGAGACTGCCAGGTTCCAGCCTCAGCCTGAGAGAGACCTGAGGAAGGGGCCAGCCTCAGCCTGAGAGAGACCTGAGGAAGGGCGAGTGGGAGCAGCAGCAGAATGACTCAGAGTCAGTGATGGATGCAGGCTGACAGCTTTGTGGTCTGCTCTAGATAGCTCTCTCGCTCTTGCAGAACAAAGCCCAGTCTTTAATAAAGCTACTTCCTTAGCAATTGCATATCAGTTTAATCTTTTACCCCGGGTTCCCTTTTGATCATTCCACCAATCAGGATTTTATGACCGTAGCCCCTTGATTCTTAGAAACTAAAATACAGAACACATTCAAGGCAAATGAACCAGACAGCAAGTATGTTTTTTAACATCACAAGTCCTATGAAGTTCACTGGGCACAGCACTTGTGGTTGCCAAGTCTAGTAATACAGGGTATTTTTATGTGAGAAAATTAGCTTTAAGCATAATATTTTTTTATAATTTTTTTTCAATTTAGTGAGCTCTTGCCAATGCAAGCAATATTGTAGCTCATTTTTATAATTCTTAGCTACCGTAATATATTATTTTAATTTTTGGATTTTTTTCTTTTTCATCTCAGTAACTCTGCTTATTATTGGAATATATTAAGAACACAATCCTAGAAAGTAGAAATATCATTAAGCCATCATCTTTTTTCTTGATACTAGACTTTTATCTGTCCTCAACCTCTATTTGGAGTGTACATTTTAAAGAGTAGAATATCTGGATCCAATTTAATTTTTGATGGCTTCTGTGGAGGAGACCACCATTTTACCACCAATAATATATAATGATCTAACTGAGTCTTGTTTTGTAACTATTCCTCTCTCTTTTGTGATCCAGGGTTTTTCCTCTATTGATCAAATCATGTCTCCTTTAATATCTTTCTGAGTATGCTGACTTATTAGTGTAACTCCCTCTGTTCTTTTAGGTCATGAAACCCCTCATACAATTCATATTGCATCCTTATATTTTGAATAGTTGAGAAATCCTGTAAAGAACAGCTCTTACACTGACTTACGTATTTTTGAACTCATGTTTTCAGAATTCTTTCCAACAGCCTTAAGGGCTGTCCTGCATCATCATTTTTTCTGAGGATCACCAGACATGTTCTCGCTTCCCAGAATCATGCTGTTTCTGATTATCTTAGAGTCCGTTAACCTTGGCAGAGAGAACATTCCTCAAAGGAGGAACATGAAGTAAATTATGTACATTATCATGCAAACAAGCCTATGATTCAGCAGCCATCAGCACAAAGAGACCCATGTCCTGCTGGCTCCAGGACTGGAGCCGTGTCACTCCATTCCTTCGTAGTCATCCTGACCCGGCAGGAGACATCTTGTGGCAGTTGGTTCTCCTTTCACCGTGTGGGTCCTGGGGATTGAACTTAGTTCATCAGGCTTGGAGGCAGATGCCTTTAGCCACCAGCCTTGAAAATATTTAATATTTCAAAATCTGTAATGCAGTAGTAATTAAGTGCATAGATGAAAGAAAGGTAGTTCTTTTATATCAGTGGAATTGAGTAGAAATAGACCATTAATGATTTATTATTCAATTGTAGTAATTTTCTTTCTGCTTTCTGTTTTTGCAGAGGCAGTTGGTGTAACCAGTCAGCGACCAGTGTTTTGTCCGTTCCATAAAAAAGAGCAGTTGAAACTTTACTGTGAAACATGTGATAAACTGACATGTCGAGACTGCCAGCTGCTAGAACACAAAGAGCACAGGTACCAGCATCCTTGTTACCCTCAGATCTGTAGCATACCTTTTATGTGGCTTACAGACTGCGGCTGCTTCAGCTAAGTGGCAATTTGTATGTGTTTTGGTTGGCCAGAGGTATCCTGGCTTACACAGGGTTTTCTCAATTTCAGGTTTGTTTGGTTTGGTTTGGGTTTTTTTGTTTGTTTGTTTGTTTGTTTTTTATATTTTGGTCTGGACAGTACATTGAAAGTATGCTGTGCTTTGTATGGTGTTTAGCAGCATCCTAGTTGAATACTAGTTATACCTTGTATTCCTCTGCTCTCATAAATGACAGCTAAAAACAATTTTAAAATATTTAAGACATTACCAAATGTACTATGGGACAAAATCAGTGCACATTGAGAGTCAATTTATTACAATGCTGTTTTTTAAAATAACAAGATATTAGTTGCTAGTGTCAAAAACCGAGGATGTTGTGATCCAGGAGACGCCCCACAAACCACATGAACAACCAATGTAGGTCAGACAGAGACAGTTTATTGATCATTTGCCCTAGGACTGATTGATCAGGGCTGCAAACCAGAGTTGGGAGCTGATTTCAACCCCAAGCCAGGATCCTGCAGAGCTTTTAAGCCTAAAATTGATAAACATCTGTGCCGAGTTATTCCACCAATCAGGATTTAGGGATTGGAGACTTCCTTAGGAACATGTCTACGTTGTACACTTATCCTGCTCCCATTGGTTGGGGTGTTCAGCTGTGGCAGGGGATTTGCCTTGCCTTACATTTATGTCTTAACTTGCCAAGCAGGATGTTACCCACCCACACACATATGTCTTTCTGCCAAGTAGGAGGTCAGTTCTTCCCAAGGAGGTCTTGGGAACTTACTTTATTTGACCCCTATTCAAAATGGAAGTCTCATTCCAAATAGCTTTCTTATATTAGTGCAGGTGTCTCTCTTATGTTGGGGTCCATCCCAGGGGCAGATTATAAAGGCACAAAACCGTAAAAGCTCATATACAGGTCCAGGAAGTGCTGCTAGATGGTTGGTTCCGCTCCAAGTTTACTGCGGCTAACTATACAAAGCAATTCTAACTGACTTCTATTGTGATTTGTTTCCAAGAACACCAAAGCACAGAACATAACAGAACATGTAGTCAATTTGGACAAGGGAAAGTTTCCTTGTAACAGTAGTTAAAAACATAAAATGGCTGGCTCGACAGGCAGCAGCAGTTACCCAGTCCTTGACTTGGGTGGGTTTGTTAGTTTGATTTTGTTGTTGCTGCTGTTTCTGTATAGTCTCACTATGTAGTCTTGTCTGTTCTGGAACTATGGAAACCAGGTTGGTCTCAGACTCAGAGGTCCATCTTAGTTGTATGCCACCAGTTGTGACTGGCTTTTTTAAAATTAAGCTTATTGTTAGTGTGTTCCCATATGTGTCTGTCTTTGGGTGTGTGTTTAGGAGTCAATTCTCTCCTTTCGCCTGGGTTCCATGAATCAAACCCAGGTTGTGAGCCTTGCATAGTAAGTGCTCTTATCTGCTGAACCATCTCACTGGCTCTGACTACACTAGATGTTATAACCTAACCTCATATTGTACTTATCTTCTTCTTGGATCAGGCATGAACCTTATTAGAATACAACCTTTGTCTTCTAATAAGTCCTGTACTGTTTCGTGTATGCTATATATGCATATACTATACACCAGGACTCTTTTAACTTTGCTTCTACCTGTGATTTTATTTATTCTTACTTAGGCTATACCAGAGATAGAGGCCCCCAGGGGAAATATTTTTCATCTTTACTGTTTTGTTTTGTTTTTTTTTTATAGATAAGGTCTTTATTATATAGTTTTAGCTATCCTGAAACTCACTACATAGACCAGGTTGACTTTGAACTCATAGAGATCTACCTGCCAGCCTCCCTGGCACTGGATTTAAAGGAATGTACTGCCACACCCACATTTTCAGCTCCATTTAACATTAAGAATATGTTCCTTGGGTATAGAATTCTTGACTTCCTGGTTGATGACAACTGTTAAATGCTGTGTCTTATTTTAGGTCACTCAAGGCTTTAATCAAAAGGTACAATATCAAATGCTTTACCCCATTTATCCAAAAGAATAATTTTGTGGCTTGTTGTACAGCAAACCTTTTTAGTGTTTATCATCTTTGAGAGTATTTATCCTCAGCAAACTTCTGTGGTTCTGAAGTCTCAATATAGTTAACCTATTAACAAATTTACTTATAAATCTTTGACCTCTTTTTGCTACATCTGTGTAATGAGTGTTGGTTAATACACTCTTGAAATAAAGAGTATCTAAAGACTTCTTTGTTGAATAATAATTTTGTTAATGACCAGATGACTCCATTTTTCTTCCTTTTCCAAGTTAAATAATGTTATAATTTGATTTATTTCTAAATTGTTCCCTATGGTGTTTTTCTCTAATCATATAATCAAGCTAAAGGTCAACTTGTTTTGTTTTTTTAACTTGTTCTTCCTCTATAATCTTGTCATTTGCACATTGCAAATTGTTTCCATTGTTTCATGGTATGTTCGTAGAACTGATTGGCCATAAAACCACAACTTTTCCTGTGAACATAAATACAGCTGACTAAATTATGAACTGCAAAAACTTGACTTTGTAGTCAAAGGTCAGAGCCCAGCTATAAAAGGCTCCCCTGCTTTTGGTCAGGGCCACTTCTCTCTCCTACTTCCAAGGAGACTGCAAGTTCGACTCAGCCGTAAAATAAACTTTTACCTTGTAACATTTAGTGTTTAGTACTGGTTTTCAACACCATAACGAATTTGAGCAAATGGCAATACCTGCCTTTCTAAGACTTTCTGGGTCCATGTACATGCATACTTGCATGCCCACATTATGTGCAGAGGTCAGAGGACATCTTGTGGGGACTCTCCTGCCATAAGGGTCCCAGGAATCAAAATTAGACTTGACAATAAACACCTTTACCCATTGCAGCCATCTTGCCAGCTCACATTCTGCATTTTTCAAGGTCCTTTTTTATACCTTTTATATTATTTCTCTTTCTTTAGAATCACCTATATATGTGTGTGTGTCTTTGTATGTATGTGTATATGGATTCAGGTACTCCTAGAGACCAGACTAGAGCATCTGATCCCCTGGAATTGGAGTTACAGGTGGTTAAGAACAGCCTCTGAAAGCTGTCTTCATCAGGACCATCTCTCTAGCCCCCACAGTCTCTCTCTTATATTGTTTTTTGTTTTGTTTTGTTTTTTTAACTTTTGAACTTTCTTTGTATAGATATTTGTACGAAGTTATTTGTTTATTATTTCTTCAGATATCAATTTATAGAGGAAGCTTTTCAGAATCAAAAAGTGATCATAGATACTCTAATCACCAAACTGATGGAAAAAACAAAATATATAAAGTATACAGGAAATCAGATTCAAAATAGGTAAGTACATTTATGACACTATAAATTATTGATGTGTAGTAAGTGTATACATCTCTAGATTACCTTTTCTTAACCTATTGTGAAGTATCTGGTAAGCTTTTTGATTACAAACACATGGTTAGTAAGGCTTTTTCAGAAACTCTGGGTTGGGAAGCAGTTTCTTTACTAGTAAAATGAAAATTGTAACAATAATAGCTCATTTATCTGGTATATATTTATAATCAAATGTTTTCTAATTTAAATTTTTTTCAAGATTGAGAAACACTTTTAACACTGGATTATGTACTTAATTGCTATTTTTAAGCTCGTTAATATTTGAGATGCCTCCCTTGACTCTTAATTCTTTAGTCACATAGGGTGGAGGATTTGGAAAACACAGAGACTGGATGTTACTAAACTTGGACGTACCATTTCCTGAGGAGAAGACACAGTATACATTCAGATAGGGGACCCAACACATACACAATGCATAAATTATATATACACACACACACACACACACACTCATGTGATATGTATGTATACATATGTATATGTAACAATAAGAAAAGATCATGAATTTGGGGGTGGGCAGGAGGAGATGGAGGGAGAAGAACCACAAAAATCCAATTTGGTGAACCAATGAGTTTTATTGGGGTTACTTACAGAAATATGGGTGAGGAGTTACAGGAGCAGAAAAGACATAAAGACAGCTGCATCACCAAAGCCCACCTTTAGGATGGGAGACAGCTCACAAAGCTGGGAACCTGGAGCACACTGCACACCCTGCAGGCAACTCAACATGTTAGAGAGTGACCTTTCTAGGTTCCTGAGTTAATCTAAACCTCTCATAGGCCAGGCAGGTAGGCCTGGTTCTGCTGCTTCTAGGCAGCTGTCTGGTCTCAAAGTGTTCTTTGCACCTCAGCCACTGAGAGTTGTCTTGGCAGCTTAGCTCAGCTCCAGTTGATCTGAGGGGACTCTAAGCTTTTAATGCTGCTCTGTCAGGAAGGGACCTAGTGAACCTGGTCCATTTCAGGGACTTCCTGAAGCTATTTTGAGTTGTTGACCTTCCTGCTCAAGGAGCTTCCTTGTGGGATGAAATATTTCAATCTCAAGAAAATTATTACACAGCAGTTTTGTTCCTTGTCTGTTTCTAGATACTACTTGTTAGGGCTTGTGCTCCGTAAAGGAAGTCAGATGTCCCAAGAAGCAGTTCCCACCAGGACACTTGCTGACTTTCACATACCACCTTAGCACACCAAGCACCATATTCTTTCTTGTGTTGTTTTTTGCATGAAAATAACTGCTACTGTTTACAGGTGAGGAAGTACTGAGTAGAAAGACTTGAGTAGGAGAGACTGCTCTGTGTATCTCAATACTGTTCATTGGGAAGTGTGTCAGCTTCTGTCTATTACTTTTTCTAGGGGATTCGGGATTTTGTTTCATTTTGTTTTGTTTTGAAAAAGTTTTGTGGGATTTTTTTTATCATAAGATAGGGCCTCACTGTGGAGTCCTGTGGAGTTCCATTCTGGAACCCACTATGTAGACCGAGTTGGCCTTGAACTCACAAAGAACCACTTGCTTCTGCCTCCCCAGTACTACATTTAAGAGCATGTATCACCACACCTGATGCTTTTCTTGTTTTTTTGTGGTGGTTGTTGTTGGTATAGGTATACTTCTGTTAGCTGAGAATAAATTCTTTCCTAAAATAAATTCTTAAATGTAATCTAGCCTAATTTTCCAATATTCCAGTATTAGTATAATTGTTATGGATTGTGTAAGTCATTGTCATATATTTATTCTGTTACATTGTGTTCATATCTTTTCATTTTTATTATAACCAGATCGTGCTATTTATTTTTATTTATTTGTATGTTTGTGTGTATGTATATATACATGCATTGCTTCCAGAGGCCAGGAGAGAGTTTTGGATCCCTGGAAATATATTACAGAAGGTGTCTGTGGGTACAGAGAAATGAAGGTAGACCCCCCTACAAGAGCAGCAACTGATGCTACAGCCTCTTGCTGCTTTTAACCCTTCTCATTTGTATAAAAACTCTAGTTAACAAAGTACAATTTTCTTTCATTATATTCTAATCAGAATATAGTATTTTTGCTAAGTAGAATAATTAGCTTCAAATTGTGATTCTGAGTAGTTGAAAAGTAGAGTGACTGTGATGATCAAAGGTAGCAGTTGTGGGATGCTTTCCAATTAAACCGTCTGTCTGCTGTGAGCATTGCTCTATGGATTTCTCTACTATGCATATGATATATAGCAAGGTTTACTTTTCTTTTTTTAGCATACAGATGTCCATTTCTTGTAATATAATTCGTTCATAGCACCAGGCTTAATGTTTCTGTAGAACTTTAGTTAACTGTGGAAGTATAGAACCATTCTAGGTTCTGGACTGTGTTCCATTGTGGTGGTTTTTTGGGAGTGGGATTGCTTTATTCTGTTTCATTTGACATTTTCCATTCTCAGGGTCATAGTAGCTTTTATAGGTGATCTTAAAAGCAGATACTGTGAATTCTCTAAATTTGTTTTTACTTTTCCTTTTTTTTCATAATATTTTTGATTCTTGTTAATTTCACACCATCCACTCTAATCCCCTCATTTTCCAGTCCTTCCATATATTCACCCTCCTCCACAAAAGAAAATTAAACATTAAAATTAAATCTAAAAAAATCTTACCATGTACGCTTCAGTGTGCCATAGTGTGTCATATAGTATACCCTTCTATCCAAACAACTTTACCTGCAAATATTCATGTGAGTGAGTCAGTGGGTGAGTGAGTGAGTCATTGATTCCAGACCTCTGGATTCTGCTGTGCCATCAATACTGGATCCTCACCAGGACTCCCCCAGCAGTTCACAAATGGAGTATATGTTAGGATGGGCCAGCTCAAAGCCCTGGATCTGGGCCTGTGTAGTAGTTGAGGAGCTCAGCCTGCCAGCTCTCCCACACCTAGCCTAGATCACTAACAGCCATCTCAATGGCCTTTGGTGGTAACACAGCCACAGACATCAACATGGACCCAGACATGGCCCGTGATGGCAAAGTAGACCCAGACATCACCATGGCCACAGGAATCTCAAATCAGGCTCAACACTTTGCATCTCCAGTTCCACCTCTCTTGATAGTGCACAAACCACTCTGCTTCTGTTTCTGTCCCATCTCTACCACATACTTGTTCGTCATACTGGCAGCAGACCGGGCTGCTACTAAGTTTGATATGACTTTGTTTTAAAATAGGCAGTGTTTCCCTTACTCATTCTGTTGTACCACTGAAGATGAGTCAGCTTTTAAAAAGTGGTTGTTTTGTACACATACCTGTTTTCCTTAAATCTGAAGCAATATTGATTTCAAACAATTATCTTGAAGTTACAACAGAGTACAATCTCTTCAACGGTGACTTTAAATTTTAGAGTGGCTGTGGAGGAGCAGGCAAGAAAAATAAAGGTTTGTTTAGTTATGTGGAACTGGGTGTGTAGACACCGAGTACCTCCTGTGTAAACTGTTCCAGAGTGTTGGATATGAGGCTTCTTTTTCTTTCTATCCATTTCATCTCCATTTTTCTCTGAAACTACTTGTTTCATAAAACATAAAAGTAGTTCAAGCCAACAAAGGATTCCACTAGGCACTCAGGAAAAAGAAAAACTGTTATTAGCGCACACAACTGGGCTACTAGCAAGTGCTTAAAAGGGGTCTAGTTCTGACTAGAAACTTTGTAATCTTATGTACAGTTGTGTGAGTTTCGAGACAGAAGCACAGCTCTAGTTTCTTAAAAGAGCATCTGTCCACAAGGTCGTGTCTTCAAGGCAGTTTGACAAGTGCCACTCCTAAGAGGAGGGCAGTGTTGTGTTGGAATTATGGCTCAAGTCTGGACAGACCACGGCAGGCTAATGCAGTGCCTTGTGGCAGAGGTTTATGGGGGGGGGATTGGGGGGAACAGAGACAAAGGAGAAAAGAGAAAAGAAAAAAGGGGACGAAGGTCAGGAAGGGTCTGCTTTTTATTTAGGCTGTAATGTAATTGCTCCCAGGTAAGGGTGGGAAATAGACTCTGGGAATGTATTAGATTGCCATGGCAACAGATGTGTGGATCCCTGTCACCTATGGGTGACATCATCTGCCAAGCCAGTTTCTGATACCAACAGGCAGGACTTTTAACAGGCAGTGCAACTTTTATAAAAACCACTTAAATTCTAATTAAGTCAGGAGTACAATTCTGTTTACTTTACTTTCCTGTATTGTCTAGGAGAAACGAGATAGTAATCTTAAAGTCATTGAATAACACTGAGGCAACCCCTCAGCTTAATTTATTTCTATGTAATTTAATATTTTCTTGAGTCGGGTATGGGCAAGTGTCACAACAGGCAGGGAAACCAACATGTGAGAATGAAAATTCAGTTCAGCTTTTCTTCATCAAACTTCTAAAAGAGTCTGGTGCCAGGCAGATTCTTGCAAGCATATTTAAATACAATTGAATTTGGGAAAAAATTTTCAGGCAACCATCATGCCAATTCCAGCTGCACAATAAAGCTTAAGGTATGGGAATATAGCAACTGCTTTGCAAAGTACATGTGACCTTGAAGATGGGTTCTAAAGCTAAAAGGCCTAGAATCTAGTGGTGTCTCCTACCAAGGTAGCATAGAAGTCAGCAGGCCATAAAATACATGTAACATCTCTCCTAAGGATGACTTCTGCCAGGACCTCCCGGTCTGAAATGGGCTGAAGGGTGAAACAGAGTCAGAAGAAGTTGTAGCTTTAAAGATTGATAGTCTTCAGATAGACTTCTACAAAATCCTAAAAAACGTTGCTCTTTGTGAGGGTTAAAAGCCTCTGACTTAGGCTGACTTAACACCTGTAGTAGCCTAAGGCTGGGGATTAAGTAGCCTTTGTTGTATCTCCCCAGGAACTGTGCTGATCTAACTCCCTGCCTGCTAGTTGAAATTGCAGGAAGAAAAGGGGGTACTTTAAAAAGTGATTTTAGCCTTTATTTCTAAGTTCTCTTTAAAAACTTTTCTATGAAAAGTTTTCTATGAAAGTTCTCTAAGAAAGTTCCTCTCTAAAAGGTTCTCTCTAAAAGGTTCTCCAAGTAAAAAGGGGGTCTCTGCTGTCTTTGTAGTCCGCACTTATACATAATTCAGGATACATGATAACATGGTGAAAAGGTTACCACAAGTTTGCACATAAATTCAAGTCATAAATAGAATAAGAAGTTTGCAACAGAGAATGTTTACGTGCATATCCATTAAGAGTAATTATCTGGCTAGACACCTATCTGTCACTAGCTCAACGGGTTCATTGAAAATTAAAACCCATAATTTTTGTGACTAAGGTTTTAGTAAAGTTTCATATAGATAAACCCAGTCAATACGTTGTCTTCTGTCTTTGCACCTATAGTAAATCCTCAGTTCCCTTTTTATGACCTTTGGTTAATGGTTTTACAACCTCTTAGAATGTGCTCTAAGTTGTAGACACCTGCTTGCTGTTTCAGAAGCAATTAACACTTGATTGACACTTGAAGACTGACAGAGTTCTCATTGAAGTTTTAACATCAGAAAGGACTTAATAGCAGTCCTATTATAAAAGGTCTTAATAATTACTAAAAAAAAAATAGGAATTCTTATAGGATCATCATTAAGAATTAAAAAAATCATGTTTGTCTATGTAGCATCACTTGAAGATGGTACATCTTAGTAATCTGCTCAAAGGGCTGGGCTAATACCTAGTGATTGTTATATATATATATATATTTAATAACAACAGGAAAAGCATATTAATACCAAGAATCTTTCCTCAAATGTAATCTTCTCAGCCTTGCCTAATGAAGCAAATCCATCATTAACTTCACAATTCATGGTGAAACCATCTCAGGAAAATCACCTGCTAGGTTTTAGCTTCTCCTTGATGGCTCCCGGCAGGCAGGGGTCTATTAACTGGGAGCTAAAGATAGAAGGTCTAGGGAGGAAGAATCTGGGATAACATTCTGGGGCATTTGGGTGAAGTCTACCTTTACAGAGAACAAAAAGTCATTGACTATCCACTCCCAGCCTTCTGGGAAACAGTTATTTCTTTCTTTGAGGAGATACCCCATGCGTAACTAACATTCCCGATTTTCCCAGTGATATGTGGGTGCTAAGACCATTGTGCCCCAACATTTTCTGAGTAAGTTTATTAGTAAATCTGTTCTAATCATATTTTAATTAATGTTGAAGTTAATTTTCTTCTCCTTTTCAGCTACTTGGCTCTTATTTCCTTTTGCCTCTTCTTTGAGTACGACTACTAACAAACGACATCAACTTCCCTAAAGAATCAACAACCACCCATACCCTATTGGGGCTCTAGTACTATACCCTCTGAAAAGTTCCCAGAATTCCAAATGTCACACAATCACAGAAATCCACAGCTGGCAAAGCATGCTTCTTTCTGCTAGAGCATGAGACAAATCATAGTCAGCTGCTGTGGACAGTCCAAAGCAACCCCATATCCCACACCTGGGGTTAAAGCAAAAACATATCTTATAATATTTTTGTGTTTTAAAAGAAAACCAGAATTCTAAAATAGTCCCTGTACCTACCCACCCTCCATTTTTATGTGTTGGGGGTGTGCATGTATATGTGTCTGCATGTGTATGGGCATCTGATGTATGTTGGTATGCATGTGCATGTGTGCACGTGTGTGGAGGCCGAAGGTTAACCTCAGGGTCATTCTTGTTGCTCTTACACGTTATTTACTGAGGCAAGTTCTCTTAGTTAAAAGAAGAGCAGGCTGATCTATCTAGTGTTGCTAACCAGTTCACTTTGGGGACTCTGTCTTCACTTTCTCAGGCTGGAATTACAGGCTGGTTTTCCACAGCTACCCTGCATTTGTGTGGATTCCAGGGATCTGAACTCTGGTCCTCATGCTGGTGAAAAAAGTACTTTAACCTCTAAGCCATTTAGAAAAGTAAACTAATTTTGTTGCCTTTTGCTTCTGTGTTCCAATATGGTGAAAATTGCCAATTTAGATAAATACCTGAGATCAGAATATCACAGTTATATAGCCAAACTTGTTCCCAGTCATAATTTTTTTGTCTTGACTATGAATTCTTGTTGCAGTCTACTCCCAGGTCCTATTCTTTTAGGTCAGCATATTGCTTTTTTGCTGTGTGACATATTTCTTTAAAACCATGTTCTTTAAAATATACCTACTGTCCATGTTTTGTTAACTGAATTATGGTTTCTAATGTCTTCTGTCTCCAAGTCAATAGGGCTTGGAGATAGAAGTTTTTAATACTAAACATTTTGGTCTAATTTAGCAATTAAAATATTCAGTTTAAATACTTGAAGAATCTGCCATTAATTTTAGATATTTTCCCCCTTTCATTTCATTTTCAGGATAATTGAAGTCAATCAAAACCAAAAGCAAGTGGAACAGGATATTAAAGTTGCCATCTTCACGTTAATGGTGGAGATAAACAAGAAGGGGAAGGCTCTGCTGCACCAGCTTGAGGTGAGTCGGGCAGTGTTAAGGGTCTGTGACTCAACATGCTTTCCTCTGCCAGGTGCCACCTGTGGCATCCTGCCTAGAGCCCTGTCATACACTAAGAATGTCTTAATCCTCGTTTACTCTACAGCATTGCCTTACTGGGGAGCTCTGTGAGTGTTGATCTTAGATAGTCACTGAAGTAACAGCTATTGTATCATCAAGGGGATGCAGAATTTTCTAGAAAAATATGCAAACTTAGTTATGGTTTTATTGCTGTGTAGAGCTACTCTTACGAAGGAGACCATTTTATTGGGGCTAGCGTACAGTTTCACAGTTGTAGTCCATTTTCATCATGGCAGAGAAACATGCCAGTCAATATGTTGATAGACATGATGCTGGAGAAGGAACTGAGAGTTCTACACCTTGATCCACAGGCAGAATATGTGCCACGTCGGTGAGACTTGAGCTTCCAAGACCTCAAAGCAAGCCTCGAGTGACACACTTCCTCCACCAAGGCCACACCTCACCTCCTAATAGTGCCATTCACACACATGAGTCTGAGGGGACCATTTCTATTCAAACAACCACATCCACTGTTTGCAATATATAGGTTTCAAATAGATTCTTGCAACATATAGTAATGTTCCTGTCAATAGAAAACTATAATAGTGATCTTTTAAGATTATATACTATGTTATCTCATGGCCATCTCTCTTTGTTGATGGAGGTACACTCTATGATGCTTGCACAATGATAAAAGTACCAAACAATATGTTCATTACAGCTCATTGTTAGTAATGCATGGCATTTAATTAGCCTTCTGAGAGATTAGGTAAAATAGGTATAGTGACTTGTGCCTGTAATCCCAGCATCAAGGAGGCAGGAGCAGGTGAAATTTCTATGAGTTCAAGACTGGCCTGGTATATATAATGGGTTGCAGGCTAACCAGGGCTCCAAACTGAGACCTCTTCTGACTCAAATCAGCAACAATAATAAAATAGATACATATAATGTATTTCTTACCCTCAGTATTATAAACTCTTTGTTTTGTTTTGCTAACATTTTTTCCCTGTTTAGCCCATGCTGACTCAAAATACTCCTGCTATAGCCTTCTGAATGATGGGTTCCAAGCCTAGGCCACCGTGCCCAGCTTTAAATATATATAGTCGCGGTTATGAAGGCAGCACTTACAGAGTATATGCTCAAGGCAGGATAGTTGTTTATAATTATGCATAAAATAATAAAAGATGTACTATCTTGATCATCTTTTCTACTCCATTTTTTTTTCTTTTTCTTGTTTTCATTTTGTAGACCAAGCTGGCTTCAAACTCAGAGATTTACCTGCTTCTGCCTCCTAAGTGTTGGGGTTAAAGGCATGAGCCACCATGTGCCATCTTGCTCATCTTAAATGCATCAAAGGCAACAGCAGATGTTTGACCAGCAATAATATGGGGTTATAGTATACATGGTATGTGAACTTACTGTATACTATTTAGTTATTCCTTCAGTATGTTGGTGAGAAAGAATTTATAGTCCAGAAGCTGTTGAGAACAAGAGCAGAAAGAAAGTGCTAGTATGGGAAGACGTGAAGTAGAGACAACTAGGAAAAAAATTTAGTTCATCTTTAATTCATAATTGATCAGTTGGTAAGATCTCTATGAGAGAGTCCTATCCCAGCTAGAAAAAAAATAGTTATTTATAATTCTGCTGTTATGAAGATAGTTACTTAGTTAGGAAAGTGCTTTGGATGAAAGGAATCAGTGCTCAGTTATGGTATTTGTCTTTTCAAGGTTTTACAGTAGTTGTTTTAAACATGGGCACATTTAAGCAGAATTTGATGATTTCCGTTTTCTACGTAACACAGTCTACTGCTCTGGCTTCATTCATATGAAGAGCTGAAAAGTGAGGATAAGACCCCAGAATCTGTGACCCTGTACTCGGCCGTCAGAATTAGTTTGACAAACTTCAACCTGAAAATGTCATAGTATTTGTTGGCTATGCCTCAAGTCATCATCCCCATCTTGTGGTTCACAAGTCACTTTTGAGACAGATAAATGGAGCCAGTTTGCTTGCTACCTCGGAAAACCAAGACACCAGAGCTTCTCATTCTCTATTTCCAATCCTCTCAGAAATTTTCAAAAAGTTCTTTCCACTCCAAAGGCACACTGTAGTTTTGCCGAGGTCAGTGCAGCTGTTAAATAAATTATCTTCTAAGTCACACTTAAAGTAGATCTGTCAAAGCCATTGACTGTGTGCATTGTCCAAACAACTGACCAGGGCACATAGGGAGAGCTCCGTTCCATCTTTCTAATTCCTTTATGTTAATAGAAATCCCTAGTATTTTTATCCTTCTCACCTTTGTTATGGATGAGGTTTGTGTGTTTGTTTATTCAATAAAGACCTTAAATAACTCAATATGGTGCCTTCCATTTTTGATTGCTGTGTTTCCTAAGTATGCATTTTCTGTGGAGAAAGTCTATATTGTAACCCATTGCAGCAGGGTTGCCATGTTGGCATTGAATCTATAGTCTAGTTTTATATAGTATCTATGAGAATGCATTAACAGTAGTACTTACCTAGTGGCTTCTCTAATAACTCTCAAGACAAATAACTTGATTTTTTTTTTTTAATACCAAATACAAGATAAGTTTCAACTACCGCTTGGCATGATTCAGCTATTGGAGCTAGTAGTCTAGGAACAGACAGTTGGAGTTGCAGTCTCTAAGATGTGGAACTGTGTGTTGGTTAAAACCATATGATGAACTGGTAATTTCAGTAGGTAACTGGGTGATATATCTGTTTTAGGTGTTTTGAATTTAACACCTACACTATTATAGCTAATCTATGTCTGTTTTCATTTAATTTGGCAAGAGTCATACTCTGAGACCAATATAAACCAGGCTTACAGGCAAAAGGTGGAGAAAACACTGAGGCTGCATGTTGATTACACTCAGAGGGAGCCTTTGTACTATGAAGGAAACTGCTTACAATCATTTTCAATTACTGTCAGTTGACTACAGACTGGTTCTTATTGTGAGTTGATTATCTGAAAATAATCATGGAAATGAATACAAAGTACAGAGACTAATTCTGAAATTATTTTCTTTTCAGAGTCTTGCAAAGGACCATCGAACGAAACTTATGCAACAACAGCAGGAAGTGGCTGGGCTTTCTAAGCAGTTAGAGCACGTCATGCATTTTTCTAAATGGGCTGTTTCCAGTGGCAGCAGCACAGCCTTGCTATACAGCAAGCGACTGGTAAGATGGAATCCAGGGATTAGTAGTCTGTAGCACGCATAGTGAGGCAGGAGTTGAGTGCTTCATATTCAGAAATAAGCCTGCACACCTCGAATTCCCTGCAACTCAGGGAGAGCACTTTCCTGTTTGAAGGTCAGCCTGGGTAACATAGCAAGGCACCATGAAAAAGAAAAAAAATCTGGGTGTGGTGGTGCCTGTCTTAATCCCAGGACTCGGGAGGTTGAGGCAGGCCACCCTGGTCTACATAGTGAGTTCCAGACCTACAAGGGCTACAGAGACAGACAGACACCACTACTACCTCCCCCCAAAAAACCCAGCAAAACAAAACACTACCTATTCATTCTTAATTGCTTGGTTTTGTTTGGTGTTGGTTCCCCAAGCTCCCAGACTGGGTTCCTCTATCCAATCACCCTCACTGTCCTGGGACCCACTTTGTAGATCAGTCTGGCCTCAAACTCTCAAGAGATTCCCCTGCCAAATATTTTTACTTGAAATGATTTTGATATAACTTGAATTTTAGTCTTTTGTCACTCATATTTATCTTTTTTTTTTTTCACTCTGTGGCAAATGAGCCCAATATAATAATAGATATCTATAGTAAACATTACTATCACTAACACCCTGCCTCACGTAATGCTAAACATTTGCCATGTTGAATATTTACATCATTGTTAAGTGTTCCTAGCTAGCCATTTCACTGGACAAATGATGAGACACAGTGATAAATAGCATGTCTAACGCCATCCTTTAAAGAGCTATAACCATGCCTCACCTCTGAGTCTGATCATCTGTCAGCTTCACACTGCGACTCATGCTGCTGGAGCTCAAACAGCATCTCACAAGGCTGGTTTAGGATTTTGTGTACTTACTGAGAATATTGCCACTATACCCAGAGCATGTAGGATCTCTGTCTCTCCTGCCAAACTCTGTTTCCATCGAGCTTCCAGGGCTGCTTGTTGTTGGTCTCAGCTGTGTTTATAGCAAGAGTGTAGCTTTAAAAGTGAACAGATACATACATCTATTCTGAAGTATTGAGATCCCCACATCTTTTGTCATTTACTCTATACAATCAAGTGGCAGAAAGTACACATGTGTCATATAAGTTTTACTTACATAAATAATACTGCTTTAAATTTTAAAAATATAAATATTTAAGGCAAGTCTCAAAGTATGGCTGGATGCTGACTTATAAGTATTTTAAAATTATTCCTAATTACAAATTGTTTTATTGTACATTTCTTTAATGGTTAACAGTGATTTAGTTGTTTTTACTGCTTCTTTAAGAAAAAATAATCTTTATAATATAGACTCATTTTTTTTAAAAAATCAGTTGTTGACTAATTTCAACATTATCTGCCTCTTTCTGCCTAGTGCTGTTTCTACACATTTGAATTTTGTTTTTTGAGATGTGACATGATAATAAAGCAGTTAATGTCTTAAGTTCTCTCTAAATGTTTTCTAAGAAAGTTCTTTTCTAAAATTCTTATCTTTAAAAGGTTCTTCTTGAGTTCTGCTTTAAAAGTTTTCCCTCACTCTTTGTCCTCCAGATTTATACATCTTTTAGAATACATGATCACATGGTAAAAAGTTCACCACAAGTTTACACATAAATTCAAGTTATAAATTGAATAAGAAGTTTACAACAGAGAATGTCTACATGTATATCCATTAAGAGTAATTATCTGGCTAGTCATTCATCATCTCTCATTAGCTCTACAGGTTCATGGAAAGTTAAAAACCTTAATTTTTGTGACTAAGGTATTAGTGAACATAAACACAGTCAATATTTTATCTTCTGTCCTTTCACCTATAGTAGTAAATTGTTAGTTCCCTTTTTATGACTTTTGGTTATTGGTGTTTCAACCTCTTGAAATATGCTCTAAGTTGTAGACGGCTTCTTACAATCTCAGAATCAGTTAACTCGTGATACTTCAATACAGTTCTCATTGCAATCCATGGCAGGGCCATCTCAGAAAGATCACCTGCTAGGTTTTAGCTTCTCCTTCATGGCGCCTGGCACTTTACCTTCATGAAAATTACAGTAGACTTGGAAGTCCAGACATTTCTGTCATATATTTTAGTTCTTTGGGAATATATCCAATTAAAGGGCATCTAGGGCATATAGTACTAGTTTTACTTGGTTGAAGAACCTCCATACTGTTTTCCATAATGGCTAAACCAGTTTACATTCCCACCAATCTCCAACCCTCATCACCATTTATTGTGATCACTGTCTAACTAGCAGCTGTAGTTGCAAGCGTGACGCACTGACTCCTTGTGGTTTTAATTTGCATATCACTTGTTGGTTTATGTTGTTGGACTTGTTCATTTAGACCTATTAGACAGTTTTTAAAGACTTTGTTTAAAAAATTGTATCTGTGTGTAGATAGATGCACACTTGTGCAGGTTTCATGGCATCCGATCCCATGGAACTAGAGTTATAGGCTATGTCAGCCACCTAACAGTGTGCTAAATGGTCTTCTGAAAGAGCAGCAAGTGTTTTTAACTGCTGAGCCATCTCTTCATCCCTGTTGAATGTCTTTATCATTGTGAAAATATCTGTTCTTTTGCTTGCTCTCCCTCCCCCCCACCCCGTGTGTATGTGTGTGTGTTTCAAACTTTGCCTCCCAATTGAGAAGAAATTATCCCTCTTCATTTAATTATTTTTTGACCATGTAGAAGCATTTTAGTGTGAGCTAGTCTTTCTTGTTTAAGTCTTCTAATTTAGTTAATTCATTTTTTTCATAACTGGACAAAGAGAAACTGGCTAAGTCCCAGGAAGTGAGAAAGTCTATTCAGAAGTCAAATCTTATAAAATAATATTTTGAAATATTTAAACATTACTAGCTTAGAATTTCTCTGTCATCTATTGAACTTTAAATCTGTGGGTTATTTAAAAGGAAGGTGCCGGTGGCCAGCCCCAGGCTGGGGGTGATTCTTTTTTCTTGTTGGTTCTTCTTAAGGCAGCGGAGGGGGAAGTGCATCATCAGAGGCTGAGACTTGGTCTTACCAGATTTGGGGGTAAGACTTTGTCTTATGAGACATTTAGGGGTGCTGTATAATAAAAGGTTTACTTATCTAAGTCTAGGTTACTATGCTACTGTAGCTGGCCTGCCTTCTGTGATCCTCTGAGGCCAGAAACTTAGTTTCTGACACTATCACCTCTCTCTAAAAATAGCAAAGGATTAAGTAAATAGCCTTTGTACTATCTCAGCAGGAACTGTGTGGAGACACTTACAAAAGTAGTTATAGCGTTTATTACTAAGTTGTAAAAAGTTTCCTATGAAAGCTATCTAATGGGAAAAGTGGAGAGTTCCTAAGTGAGAGATAGAAAAAATTCTTCTAAGTGGGGAAAGGGAAAACATTCTAGTAAGGGAAAAATTATCCTAGGTGGGGGCTGGGGGGCGGAGTTTCTTCTCTTTGTCTTCAGTACTTATACATCTTTCAGAATACATGATCATGTTACAAAGTTCACTCAAAAAAATCAGTTCATAAATTGAAATAGAAGTTTACAACAGGGGCTGGAGAGATGGCTCAGTGGTTAAGAGCACTGACTGCTCTTCCAGAGGTCCTGAGTTCAAATCCCAGCAACCACATGGTGGCTCACAACCATCTGTAATGAGATCTGATGCCCTCTTCTGGTGTGTCTGAAGACAGCTACAGTGTATTCATATATAATAAATAAATAAATTTAAAAAAAAAAAAAAAAAACAAAAAAAAAAAAAAAGAAGTTTACAACAGAGAATGTTTACATGTATATCCATTAGACGTAATTATCTGGCTAAACATCCATCACCTGTCTCAGTTCCACAGGTTCACTGGAGGTTTAAAACCATAACTGAGTTATTAGTGAAGTTTTGTATCGATAAACCCAGTCAATGTGTTTTCTTCTGTCCTAGCACCTATAATAAATCCTTAGTTCCCTTTTTATGACCTTTGCTTAATTGTTTTACAACCTCTTGGAATGTGCTTTGAGTAGGAGAAAGTCTGATTACTATCTAAGAGCAATTAAGTGGTGACACTTGGGAGACTGGCAGAGTTCTCATCACAGTTTTGACTATCAGAAAGGGACCTGATAGCAGTCCCATGATAAAAGAGCTTAATAATCATTGATATAATTTTAGGAATTCTTATAGGATCATCATTAAGATTTAAGTCATCTATTTGTCTATATAGCATCACTACAAGAGAGTACGTCTTCATGGATCTGCAGAAATCTGCTTCAGGGGTGTGCTATTACTTAGTGATTGTTGTGTATGTTTAATAATAATAATAATAATAATAATAATAATAGGAAAAGCATATTAATCCCATGAATCTGTCCTAAAGTGAATCTTTTAACAGCCTTGCTGAATAAGGGCACGCACACCTCTCACAGATTATATAATAATCCAAGGCAAGCCATTTCAGGATGATCACCTGCTAGTTATTAGCTTGTCCCACTATGGCTCCTAACAGGGTAGCAGGAAAAATAATGTTAATAGAAACTAAGAAAATAAAGCACTGGGCATTTCTTTTCTGGTAGTGGTTTGAAAAGTACAAATGAGGTGAATGAGTTTTCTGCTCTCTCCTTCCCATTTCAGCAATCACGGGCCTTTTTATTACCCCTTGAATGTCTGTCTGTGGCTCTACTGCCAGTTCCCTATCCCTGACCCTTAGTACTCAGAACATGGAGCTCTTTCTGATGCTTTATCATAGAAAGCCTTTCTCTCCCCTGATTCATATTTGTTCATCTTCCATCATCCCTACCCACTACAACCACTATTAACCACTATGGTTGGTTCTTCTGGTTTGGGCTACAGTCTGCTGGGATCATAGGTACATATCACTACTTCTGGCTTAGACTTTTTTGAAAAAGCCTATTCTTAGGTTTTTAATGAATCAATACAATGAAAGAGAGGGAGAACACTAATTCTATATAAAAGAGGCACTCAAATACTAAGATGTTAAGGGAAGAACTGGATGTTGCTCAATGCTTGATAGTACAGGAGCTCAGTGAT